GGCCAAGGTCGCGCTCGAGCCTGCAGAAGATGCGGAAATGCTGCTCGTCAGGTCAATTGAGTGGACGGTCGTTGAGGCAGACACATTCGACACGGCACTGGAACAGGCGAACGTCATCCTGAGGTACCTGCTCGGTGCGCAGCTGTCATCTCCTGTGGTATCTATATGGCTACTTATCTGAGTTTTGGAACAGCTCGGGGAAGGGTCAACGTGGCGCGTTTGCTCCTTGACATGCTCCCACCGGAGCTGACGGCTATCAGCACGCCTGAGGACCGCGCGGCGGAATACCTGGACTATCGCCAGTTCTTCATCGCTTGGGAGACACTCGAGCGCGTGAAAGAGTGCCAGACGCTCGAAGCTCCGCAAATGAGTCGAGACACACGCGGGGCATGGCTCAGGGACTATGGGGTGTGTATTCCGACGCCGTTCCCGCCGCTATCGTTGGTACTCATAACGACGGGTTACAGGGCCTGGTGTCTAGCGCGCGGGAACAGATCCTCAAGTTATTGACCACGGATTGGTTGGTCCCGGAAGCCGAGATCCCCGCCAGTGCGTGCCTTTTCACGATAGCGTTTTTTTAGAACTTTTTTCGCTCACCGTGAGATGCGTTGCTTGAAGCCGATCGTCGTGTAAGAGAACTGGCGCGTATCCGGCAGGTGTTCGTTCCGGAGCTCATCCTTCGCTTACACGCAATCCTCGTCTCTTCGCGGACCCACATACCTGAGTGCGCCCTTAGCTTTCGTTCCCCCCCTTATTCGCGCCCCTGATCACCATTTTTTTATCTGCAGAAATGTCCGGCATGCCTTGCGCCTGGCGAACATCGTTGCCGATTCGCGGTACATGTTGTTCACCGAGTTTGCGGGAGAAAATGGACGCAGACTAAAGGAGTATCTCGCTGCTGTGCGCACCGCTGTGATGGCAGGGCTGGAACACGGAGGGTCGGATCCGTTCAGGGCAGCGCTTTGACTGTTTTTTTTTCTATGTAATGGGGCCACTGATTGTTTGATGTCGTACTTCGTTCATGTTGCCCTATGTGTAATCTCAACTCCACGGGTTTTGGGTCAGTGGCAGTCGCCATGGAGTCACCAGTGCGGGCATGAGAATGGGGGTTCCCTGTGTCCTGCCCTTTATTCCCGGCGCCAACAGATGTGAGAACATCCAAGACTCCTCGAACACGGTGTTGCTGTCCTACTCCGATCTGATATGTATGGGTGATTTAGTAACTATGCCGTACACTAGTACTATCTGCCCTTGTCCTCCGACATGCCCGAGTCGTTAGTACTCAATTTTATTCGAGTCTGACAAACTGACAATGAGAGAATGACTGGCTCACATTACTGTGTTTTTCCCCTCTCTTGCTATGTTTCCCTCTCACCCCTTCTACCTCTTGTGTCTGACCAATGTGTGCTCTCTCATCTCTTCTCTATCCTCATTGACCTTCTTCTCTATTTAAACTCCTGTTTGATGAGCCTTAACCAACTTCAGGTTACATCTGCAAAAAGGGTTTACTATATACCTGCCTAATAAGGTATATAGGCTCTCAGAGCCGCCAGAGCCCAATTCACGCGCTATATAGCTCTATATAGACAATATAGTGTCTTGCATGTATATATAGCCTATATACATTCACGAATATCTATATATGCTATAGATTACAACTCGTGTCTATGAGAGCTATGGCAGCTATACATCTTTCAAGGCCACAAGCATGCTAAGGCCAGGGCTCTCGAGCGCCGGACGCACGCGCGCGACATCGGCGACGAACATGGACCACCCGCCGTAAATCCCGAGCGAGTGCACGTCCGGCATGGGAAGCGCGCAGCGCTGCACGTACAGCTCATGCAGGCGCGGCGCGAAGGGGGCATTCGTGGCGAAGCGGAGCTCGAGGGCGCGCACCTGCGGGGGAGGAGCAGGCGGGGGTGTACTCGAGCTCATGCGTAACCGCATGGCAAAGGGCGAAGCGGCGCAGAGTGTCACCGCCAGATCCCTAGGCGTTGCCTTGCGGAACCGTTCACGCGATAGTTCCCAACTATCTGGTCCGCGTCGAATAGGAGCTCAAAGAGTCCTGTGTAGTCCCTTGATGTGAAGAAGACGGGTCGGTAGAGTTGATACTCTCGGAGGAGACGTATCCTATAGCGATGATAGTCTTTGCTTTGATAGCTGGCCGTGTTGTTAAGATAATGCCAGAGGGAATGCTGTAGGGCCGGGTTTGTATTGGCCAGCGTGCCGAGTAATGATAGGGTATGGACGTCCAGTGCCTTCCCAAGGCGTACCCACAAGAGAATAGAGGAGAAGGTGGTTTTATTGGAAATGTGAGTGCCTAAGGGGTTTAGACAAGAGACGAGAGAAGATTCAAAGTGCCGACTTAGGGTCGACACTGGCCCCTACTTATAGTACTTTGTATAGTACCCATGTGATAACTGTGCCCCTCTAGAACTACGGGGCTAGGCTACTGCTACGGGTGTGAGACTGCGTAAGTATTCCGGGCGCATTCCGGATCCGTCCAGACTATACTGTGCTTTTTGCTTCCGGTACCAGGACTGCGGGTGGCTAGACAGGGCTAGACTGACACCCGAGGCCGTCCGTCCTTCAGTGCCATGAGCCGGTTCTCGTTCTTACCCCGGACCTGAGGCTGGGCCTTGTCCGGGAGCCGGTGACACAGAGTGTGTGTGAGCGAGGCGTCGCGGGAGAGGGCGTGGAACGTGGGGTATGAGGAGGGGAGGTGGAGGTAGAGGTGGTGTGGGAAGGTAGACGGGCCGTAGAGGTGGGACGTGATGCCCTGGCAGGTGCTGCGTGCGGGTGGGGCGTCGGGAGACGATGGGGGACCATCGGTGCTGGGGTGGCTTGAGAGTTGGACGCATCGTTGGAGGGGCGTGAGAAGATGCGTGGTGCATGTGGGGGAGACGACTTGTGCGTCTCGGAGGAAGAAATTCTTCGCTATCTAGTGGAAGGACATACACACCAGTGGGAGGGCTACGACCGCAAGGGTGGGCTCATCGTTGGGGAGGTGGATCGGCGAGTGGAGGGTGGTGGGCCTCGGGAGGTCGGGGAGGAGGTGGGGAGGGCTTGCGGCTGCATCTGCATCGGGGGCCTCCTTCTTCAGTGCGTGCTGAGCCTCCTCTGCGGCGGGAGAAGGAAAAGGGAGTGGCAACGAGGGAATGACGAGGTGGAGGGTCAGGGCGAGGCCGCGGCTTTTTGTGGAATTCGTGCGGCGTGACGCGCTCGCCGGATGCACCTGCAAGCCAAAGACGATGCCCATGCACGGTCGGGGCTACGTGCGAGGCCGACTGGCCTGCACGAAAGCGTTCGGCCGAGGCGGAGCAAGCCGCTCTTGGAGCCTCCTTGGGGAGGAAGCTGTCGGGGCGCCAGCATCGGGGACGCAGGCAATGGCGGGTGGTAGAAGGGGGAGGGCGCCAGATGAGGATGCGAGCGAGAGCGGCTGAAGTGGTGGGGCATCGCAACTGTGCATGGTCGAGGCTACGCGCAAGGCCAACTGGCCTGCACGATAGCGGTCGACCAAGGCGGACCACGCCAGGAGAGGGCCGCCAACCAGGACCTTGAGGGGGGGCTCCTTCGGGAGGAGGCCGTCGGCGCCAAGGGGGCCTGAGGTCACCAGAATTGGTGGCGGGTGGTAGGCGGAAGGCGGAGGGCGCCGGACGAGGATGAGAACGAGAACGAGAATGAGAATGAGGAGAGGGTGGTGAGTGAGGAGCAGGAGATGAGGGAGGCGAGGAGGAAGGAGAAGGCCGGAGGTGAGGCGAGACAAGCCGGCCAAGGAGGGACGCGGATGCATACATTTGCGTAGGAGGAAATGGACGAGTCACACCGCTGGACTGACAATTCAACAATGTCATGTGACACTTTAGTTGAACAGTTTGTGTCGGAGATGCGTCGGACTCTGAATATCTGAATATAACCTGGTGCGTGTTCGCTCATCCTCTACACTTCTCCCCCACTGCCTCCACCAATGCACAAGGCCTCTGTCGTGCCCGTATGATCCTGTCCTCTTCTATTAACCTGTGTCGAGTTATGTGCTCGTGCACTCCTTCGTAAGCTTTTATCATGTATCTTGCCCTCTCCCGCTTCTGCATATACAACCCACGCTTGAGGTCAACTCGGGGCTGGGTTGTTGTCCTATCACAGTGAGTAACATTTCCCCTGGGGTAGGTAACAGGTTATTCACCTTTCGCTGTCCTAATCACAGGTACAGGACATTGACTCGATGTGGCCACTGCACCTGTACACCTACACAAGGACACTGACTGACTTCTACTGCTCTTGGTGTCACCAACCCTATGACCTCCTGGTATGTTTTCATGTTGAATGGCACTCATTGTTGCACCGCAGGTTGGATGACGAAATCGAGTCTGAATGTTCAGATGGTCGTGATTTCGAAGGCGCAGTATATATGGAGTGATCAGCAGTCCTGTTGAGTTGAAGAGGGAGGAGGGTGACGATGAGGGCAGTGACGGTGACGAGGGAGGGGGTGGTGGGTAGCCAGGGAAATGTCAACCGTGATGGGGCCCGTGTCATGCCTGGAATAGCTACTATTTTGTAAAATAAAATAAAAACAAATATATTTGGTTTTGCATGTTCATTTACATCGCAATCGCGTGCGTGGCAAGACATTTGGAACTGCGAAGTATCTATGCTCTCGAGACTATAGAGATCAGTGTGCTACAACAGCTATATAGGCTATATAGGCTATAGAGCTGTATAAAGACTCAAGCTATATAGCCTATGTAAAGTAGTGCCCGGCTATAGAGCGCTATATACACGGGGGAAGTCTCTCGGGCTACGCGAGCTATATAGGCTATAGAGCTCGCTATATACCGAACGTTTTTTCCTGATGTATGGGTCCTGGAAGCACCCAAGAGACGTTGCAAGCACATTAGTAGTTAATTTAGTACCAGATTACTAGTAGTAAGGGGGAGTGTTGGCTTTGGGGTAATCTGTCACCTAAAACTGGTTGAAAAGGGCAACACAGTTGAAGCACCCATGGCTAGGTAGCTCAATAGGTAGAGCACCAGGTATATATTCAGGAGGGCTGGGTTCAAACCTTAGTCTGGTCACTTAAATGCTGCTAACAGTGGGTGACACCACTTTAGCCTAAGGAGATTATCCCCATCAGGCCAATCAAAAATCTTGACAAATGCATCAGAAACTTTCCTCACTGGCAAGTTTCTGTCATTGTTGAGCTTCCTGCCTTGGGTGCATGATAAAATGTGAATAGTTGCCACCACTCTACTAATCTTGTACTCCATAAATTTTTTTTCATCTGATTCCAACATGTCAATTCATAACATTACTATCACTGAACTTATGTTCTATTTACATTCCATTTACCCTTGCACGCAGATCGACGTCCTTTCAAACGACAGCATCTCAATGACCCTTTCATGCTCAAGCTAATATCCTTCTGGAACAGTTTGTGGAACGAGCAAGCGGCTTTTATCCAATCAATACCCGTTGTTCGTGATTCCGACCCTGTTGAAGATCTTGACATTCCGTCAGCCATCCAGGTCGTCCATGGGTTTCCCAAGGAGGGTTTTCCCCATGGCGTATTCAAACGGAAGCAGTGCGACATCGTGCTCAAGGACTTGGAGTCCGAGTCTTTGCGTACCACCCATGGTCACGCTGAGAGACTCGGAGGTGACCGCTGTCAGCTGAAGAATTCGACGACGTAGATGTTGGGTTCAGTGGCAATCAAGTGTCTGCAGAATTGGGATAGTAGAGGCTCGGTTTTCGTCATCGATATACCTGTCTGCAGTGGTGATGAGATGCCGCAGAAACACGACAACTGAGGCCTGAGGCCTGATGGTGCGTAAAGACATGTGCCAGTGGTCCAGTGGTAGTGCCAAAGGTCATAGAACGAAGGGCTGAACCACGACTCGCGTGGGGGTTCAAAGGCGTCTTTTGGTCTCCATGTCTGTTATAACTACTACTATAACACTGAGGACATGCATCACTCATCATACAGATCACTCTTGGTCATCTCAAGAGAGTACATCTCGAGCTCCAAATCATCGTACACCGTCTTCTCCACCGTAGAAGTTACCGCAGACCCCTCGGAAGTCACAATGATAAACCGGATGTTCAAGCCATTAACATTGATCCCAGACTGTCGCGCGATGTTATGTAGATCATACAATCCCTTTGGCTTGATAGCGTGATTTATCGCATCTGTGACCTGAAATGCGGTCACTCGACTGAAATTTGGGTCATAGATGAATGAGTCATATGAGTCGCCATATGAATGGACCGTTGGCCGATAGTATCGATTGGCATTAAGGCTTGGTATTGGGTTTCTGCGATTGAAAGTAAGCAGGATTCGCGGGTGGAGCTCAAGTGTTTCTGAGACGGTCTCCTGGGAGGTCACAAATTCGTAATTGATAGGCCCAACTGACGCTCTATTCATGGGGTGGAGTATAACCTTTTTGTTGCCCTTGACGCACAGCCGTTGAAAGGCTGGCGCGAAGAGCTCCCCAGTGACAGCCTTTGAGGCGGGCACCAGACGGAGCGTCCTGTAAAGTTGACAATGATTTTGCCTGCGCGCGGTCGCATCCTTGTCCCAAAGCAATTCATTGACGTATTTGGTAACGACCGTGACCCGCGCTGAGGAAGGATCTTCTGGCTCGGGGGTAACTAGGAAGATCTCATGAAACCCTTCACTCAAGCCGACACGCGAGACTCCTGTAGTTAGGGCCTTTGTCAGTGTATCCCAAGACACACTTGCGATGCGTGCACGGATCTTTGTATCGTAGTACTCAAGGTCGGAACACCAGGCGAAGCATTCACGGGCTGATGGGCCATACTTCTCGAAAAAGGCCTGGATGTCTTGCTCTTTGAGCTTGTGCCTATCAAATTCACGACTGCGACTGGGAGATCAATTGAGTGACTGAGGACGAAAAGCTGACTAAAAGAACACTAACGCTTGAATGAGTTCTTCCAATGTGAATGGTTCCATAAACCACATTTTAATGTCAGGCCTGTAATGCTGTATTGACTTCCATCGTCTTGGGTGAGGAGGAGCTGCTATGACAACAAAATAGGCACTCTCAATGAAGATCTCTGGAACAGATTCAACTGAAGTGTTCAAGTCAATCAGGACCCATGATTCCGCAGGGGCATTGGGGACTGAGAAATTTGGAGACAGCAATTCAACTCCACTGTCATTGAAGAGAATGATGAAGTCCTTTCTGAACTGAAAGAACGTTGGCTGTTTGTTGCGAAGACGGAAAGCCAAAATATAGTATAAGAACATAGTCTTGCCTAGATGGTGCACCTTATATGTGAGCACCGATCATCCGCAGCAGAAGATAACAAATTTGGCCACACCTATTCCGGGTTGACCTGTAATAATGACTGCGCTATGCGTGGTACACGAAGACTTCAAGACGTCATGTGCGGCGTCATACTGCTTCCGTATGAATACTCCGCTGTTGTTGGAAAGAAGCACCTTGGGCAACCCATGAAGCACCTGGATAGTTGACGGAATGTCGTCGAGATCTTCGACCGGGTCGAGATCACGAATAACAGTTACTGCTTCGAGAAAATTCCCTTGCTTGTTTCATAATCTGTCCCAGAATGGTGTAAACTCCTCGACAAGACTAGAAGTGTCATCAAGGCACTGTCGCTTGAAAGGTCGTGGATCTGTGGGCGAGGATGAAGCGTGAGTTCAGCCGTTGAGTGACATTATGAATCGGAATTGGGCCCGTCGTAATTGGATGAAAATGAGTTTATGGTAAGAAAGGGGAATGGGGGTGACTATTCACATGTCACGTACGCAAAGTAGGAAGCTCCACAATGATGGAAAGGTGAGGAGAATTTTGATTTGGAAAGACCGTGCCAACTAAATCGGTCGGATGCGAGCTTAAGTTTTCAGCAAATTGCGAAGAATCTGGCCCTAGGTTTCGGATGTACTCGCAAAGATCTATGGAAGAGTCGACAGGGATGACGACCGTAGGCTAAAGTGGTGTCTCCCATAATCTCAGGACTAATAGCTAGAAATAACGCACCTTCCAGAGAATGAGTCTTGCGGCATCGATCCCTTGAAGAAAGCCACTGATTTGTTCTTTGATCTTGACCTTCAAGTCAAGGATGTCGTCGCCTGGGGAAGCGACAACTCTGAAAGCATACTTCTCGCCTTCAACGACGCACAAAAGTCTGTAGGTTGTATTGGACATTTAGAGGGTGGGCATTGTTCGTGGTGTGCACTGACTTAGAGAAGGGAGCACGTGCCATCAAACGTCGTCAGCAACTTGTCCCCGCGGTCTCGCGCGCTTGCCCCCCTCTTCGCATCGTTCGTGTTTTCATATCCGTTCGCCCCGCTCTCCTCAACCCCTTCTCACCCACATAAACCTCCACCCACCTCACACCCGTGCCGGACCGAGAGTAAAAATGCCGTTCCTCCATCACTTAGCCACCTCATCCGGACATTGATTCCTTCCTCTCTGTCCGCCTGCCGCCGCCGCACCCCCAGGAGCTCCAACCGCCGCCCCCACCCCGCCGCCCATCTACCAACTCGTCGCCCCTGCTGTTCCGTTACCTCCGCTACCGCCCCCGGAGCCCTGGCACCCGCAGCAGGCAACACTCACCTGCATGCTCAGCCACTGCAAAAACAGCGCGCCGCACGTCTCCGACCATGACGAGGAGTCACTAACGGACTTTCTGTTCGAGTTTGAAGGCTTCGCCCCCACTGATCCCCAGAAACTCGAGGCAATCATATCCCGCGCTGCCCTCGAAAAGCTATACCCCGGTCCAGACCTCGTCTTGCCATGCACTCGCCAGCCCAGTGGGGGAATCACTTATCACATTCACGAACGCTATGAAGTCTTACGCGGTTCACTTTCAACCCCGTTTTGCATCTTTCTGATGAGTGCCGGGCTTGCACTCAAACTAAATATATGATCTATCACAGGCTCAATTGTACAAGTAATATTACCTTTACCCCCAAGCTGTCTTGCATCCCTGGTCACACTTATCGCAGTTGTATTTTGACCCAAGAAAAGCAATCGACATTTATTTTGCAAAGTAAGACACAATGCCGCTAAGGTCCAAGCCTCCTTGTACTACTTCGACTCCGTGTGCCGACATCCACGCTTGCTGCCATCAGCAGCTAGTGCTGCGAGCTGATGTGTAGCTGCCCGAACACAATCACTAGCTTTCATGTGCTTTCTCTTTGGCATTCCCCTTAGACCTTGCGCCGCTGCGCAATACACTGCCCCGGACGGAGGAGTCCGGTTTGGGACTGCGCTGGCGCTAGCACTAGGGTCAGAGCCCGTGTTGTGACGGACACCCAGGAAGCAGCGCTCAGCAGCCAGCAGGGGACGACGCACAAATGAGCTCGAGCTCGAATAAAGTCACGCACGTCCGGAACGTGGCTCGGAGATTATGGGGCACGCAAGCCCGTGGATGTGCACATTTTTCCCCATTTGTGCTGTGTTCATGGCGACCGGTGTGCTACGGCGGCCCCGGATGGGCTGCCGAGATCCCCACCCGTGCGGCGCCTTTCTGCGACCGGTCCCGTCTTTCTTCTTTCTTTTTGGACTCGGACTCGGAACCGTCGCGCTCACTAAGCGATCCTTTTCAGCCGACTGTTGTGCAACTGGAGCGCATCCGGCAAGCTGTTCGTTTCGAAGCTCATCTACACACGAACGTTGAGTGTGCTCTTACATTAATGATCTCTCTCATTTGTCTGTCAGTTCGCCTTTTTTTTGGATCGTAACGTCTGCATGTCTTGCTGGCGAAGATGATTGCCGACGGCACATGTTTTTGCGGGGGAACACAGACGAAGGCCTACGGAGAACCTTGGTTGTCGTATATACAGTATCGTGATGCTGGCTGGCAAGGCTGAAACAGGGCAAGAACACTTCAGGGATGCGCTTCGTGGGTCGTATATGTCATATCAGTAAGGCTGCCGGTTAATTTGACGTTCTGGCTGCTGCAAAACTCCTTAATTGCTATCATGTCGTGTTGTGTGGGTCAAATCCACGGGTTTCGCGGGCTCGGGGTAAGTGGGGCAAATGGTGGATACTCTCACAGTTTAGCGCCCAGCGAAGATGTCGCGGCA